GGGCGGGGCGGAGTCGAGACGCGCCCCGGGGGCGCGAGTCCCGGGCCTGGCGGGAGGCGGTGGCGCAAATGCCCACACCTGGGCCCGAGAGGCGCCCGAAGTGCCCGGACCCGTGGCGGCGGCATCGCGACACTAGGAAAACTGCCCGCGTTTGAGCAAACCGAGGCTCTCTGTGGCCTGCCCCTGACTCCGCGGCCCCGCCGCGGGCGCGTCCAGGGCCAGCGCGGACACGGCGGGCCGGAGCCCCGTGGCCGGGGACCGGCTGCCCAGGACGAAGTGTCCCGGGAAGGGGGCACAGATGGCCGCGCGTCCCTGGGGAGAGCGGTGACCCGGCCTCCCTGGGGCGCAGGGGCACCCAGCCTAGGCGCCTGCTCTGCCCCCCACTGTGTCTCTGGCGGCCTCACCCCGCACCTCTGGCTTGCACCCCGGTGTTGTGTGCATAGTAAACACACCTTGAAATAAGGGGATTTCACAGACGCGCTGTGCAGTGCGCACAACAGAAAGGCCAAAGTGGATGAACTGTCGCGCCACAGCGCCCCTGCAGGCAGGCGCGCCCTCCCCGTGCCCAGGCCCTCGCCGGGCGCTTGGGCTGGCGGTGGGGAGAGGACCCGCCACCTCTCCGCACACGGGGCGACGGGGCTGTGGCGTGCGCTCAGGGCACTGGAGCGGAGTCTCACCGACAGGATGAAGACGCCAGCCGCCGGCCGGTGGGCAGGGACTGTTCGTGAGACCCCACAGAGGCCCCCAAACGTTTCCAAGTCTGCAGACTCCGAGACCCGGAAACTACCCGAGAAACATGCGTTGCGCCAACTTAGGAAGGCAGGGCCGGGAGGGTGCGCGCCTGTGAGCCGCTGTGGCCTGGGGTCTGGCCGAGCCGAAGGACAGGCCAGCGACGCGGTCTGCAGAGACGAGGGTGGCCTCAGACAAAGCCCACGGGACCCTGGGACCCAGGCGGCCAGCTCCGCGGCTCTGGCCGTGCCGTGCAGGGGCTCTTTTTAAGATTTTTTATTTACTAAGCACACAACAACTGGGGTGTGGCCAGAGGTGCAGTGTACAGGACGCCCCAGAGACAAAGTGGGGAGCAGAGCAGGTGGGTCCCGTGACACCACAGCTGAGGGGGCAGTGGGGGACAGGAGGGGTCTGCGGCGCCCTGGGGTCCCGAGCGGGTAGACACAGGCACGAGGCTGGTGACGGCCTCGTAGGCTGAGACTCGCCCTGCGCCCCAGAGAGGCCTGGTGACCAGGCTTTGGGTTTCACGCCAAAAACAAGGGTGACCGAGGCCAAAGGAGCAGTGGGACTCCCTGGCGCCCACGACCCATGTTGCGGGTACCGCCTGCTGCCGCCCTGCCTGAGCGCACGGCCCCTCCCCCGCGAGGCACAGTCCAGCCACAGAGGGGCAGGGCTGGCCCAGTTTTCAAGACAAAGGTCAGGACCAGGCCCCGGGGGCCAGAGCCTCGAGCCTGCCCCGAGGAAGATGCAGCCCGGAAGGCCTGGCTCCGGGCAGGAGCGGGGCTGCGCTGGGGGGCAGTGGCCCACGGGTCTGCAGCTCAGGCTGCGGTTAGTATCGCGAGCTCGGCCCCGGGGCAGGTCACCCGCAGCAGGACGTGGCCTCGGCAGCGGCCAGCGGCGGCCCGGGGCAGACCGAACCGCCGTGCACACGTCTGGGTACAGACGCAGCACATCTCAGTGAGGGAAAGAGGAGGTGCCCCCAGGGCTGCGCGCTGTGGCCGGGCACCACCGTGCTGAGCGAGTGCCAGCCCTCCAGCCCCAAGGCACTGTCGCTGCCCGCTCCGCCTGCTCCTGGCCAAGCCGAGCCACGCACTGCCGCTCTGATCTCAGGGACGTCGACGCTGGTCCTGCAGAGGCCCGCTGCCCTTCACTGGTGTCGCCAGTCTGCAGTGACGGACCGCCAGAGCCAAGGCCAACAGCCGCAGCCAGAGGGCAGCAGGCCCTTGCCGGCCGGCATCCATGGGGCAGCTCTCTGCGGCAGGGCTTGGCCAGCTGCGGGCGTGCTGAGGGTCAGTGCCCCACCCCGCGGGCCAGAGCAGGGTACTGGCCAGGCGGTGTTTTACCTTTGACCTCAATGGCCACTTTTCTGCAAGAACGGGGCGTCCAGCCGAAGGCCCTGCCCCTCCCCCCGTGGGCACGGCCGGGCCACACGACCTCCACCTGGACAGCCCCCGGAGGTCTTCACAGCCTGCAGCGCAGGGAGGCCTGGCTCCGCTGTCCTCCAGTGGTCCTCAGCCTAGAGCGGGGATGATGCTGGACACCATCCTGGCCCCAGCTCGTCCCTGGGGAAAGCCCCCGAGGCTGTGGCTGATGGGGGGCTGGGACCCAGCCTTCCCACTTCTCTGCTGGCCTTTACCTGAAGGACCGCAAGATGCCCGGAAGGAATGTCAGCTCCCCAAGGGTCCCTGGAGCGCATGAGCACCCAGAGACCTCTGCTCTCCTTGGGGGGTGGCTGCGGGCCGGCAGCTGAAGAACAAGAAGACCCCCTGAGCCTCGGGGGGCTACACACCCACACCCCACTCGGCCCCGACTGCAGGTCCCAGCTGACCGGCCTGGCGGTTTGGGGCAGAGCCCCGGACACGAGGAGCAGCTGAGCCCCAGCAGAAAAGGCAAATCAGAGGGGCGTTTCCGGGAAGGAAAACCCAGAGGGGACATATGTGTGCCTCGGCGTGAGGCACGGAGAAACCCCGCGGCGTGTCCTGTGCGTGGCCCTCACCGCAGGCCTTGGTGGGCGGAGGGGCTGGCTGCCTGCTGCCCGCAGCCCCGGTCTGGGCAGGACAAGCTGCCAGCCTGGGGGTGGCCTGGCCCAACAGGGGGTGGCCCCCACGACCCCTCTGGTCGGCATGCCCCTCGGGGCCCCCTCCACTGAGGGGTGCTGGCAGGCCGCGGGGCCTGGGGTCCCTGTCTGTGCCGGGTGGGTGGCAAAACAGGGATTCCCAAGGACACTCTGCCACTGGGCCCTGCCCCTTACCCTCTCCAGCCCCGGCAGCCCGAGGCCCCAGCAGGGCCAACAAGGGGTAAACGCGCCGGCTGGAGAGGCCCCAGGGAGGCCGGCCAGGATGGCTGCGCGCACGGGCGGGCCGGCGCCGGGCGGTGGAGGGCGGCAGGGCGCCAGGGAAGCTGGCGCTGGGTAAGTGATGGAGCCAGGCCGGGAGCCAGGCTGAGCTGGACGCTGCCCATGCTGGTCCATGTTCTGGCGGGGTCTGGCCTCGCCGGGCCTCGCTGGTCACCCAGCAGCCTCGTACACTCGATGTCCTGTGGAACAGCCAGGCGGCCACCAGCCACAGTGCTGCCCTTGGGGTGCAGAGTGGACACAGGGACGGACATGCGTTTGCTGGGGACCGCCTGCTTCTGCTGGGGCCAGGTCACGCACTGACCTGCGGGGTCCCTGCTGCACACCCCACTCGGAAGCGGGGATGGGGTGCCGGCTTCACAGAGGCTCTGGTCATGCCCCTGGTGGCACAAGCCACACGCTGTGGCTCGCAGAGCCCTGTGAGTCTCCCAGCACCTGGGGCCTCAGCGTCCCAGTCAGGGCATCCACTCTGCCTCGCAGGGCACAACCGGCTCCTCCCCGTGGCGCCCCCGCCTCAGGGCCTTCCCTTAGCCACCTGCAAAGACGCTGGCCCCCAAGCCTGTGCCTGACAACTCCGGGGGCCTGCCAGCTCCGCAGGCTAGGCCTTGGCCAGAGGCGGAGTGACTGGGCACCGCACAGCTCTGCTGCAGCTCCGGTAGCCAGAGCGCACGGCCAGTGCGAGGGCCTAGAATCAGGTTTCCACAGGGCGGCTCCTGCCAGAGGCCTGGGCGGGGCAGGGGGTGGTCACCTCCAAAAACATCCTGGCCTGGACCCTCAGTCAGGGGTCTCACCGGCTCAGTGCCGCCGCGGTCAGTCCAGTCTGCTCCAGGTCGGCCTGGTGCCTCTGCAAAGCCCCCTCCGTGCGGTATGGGGCACGGACATTGCCGGGGTACCAGCGTGCAAGGTGCTGTGCCCACGGCAGAGAGCTGGCATGCTCCCTGGGTGCCGGCACCCCACACAGCTGGGCACCCCAGGCCAGGTCTGCAAACGTGAGGGCTGAGTGGCCAGTCCTCCAGGAAGGCTCCTGCTGGCGGCTCCCTTCAGGGCCTCCCAGCCAAGAAGCAAGCGGGACTTGGGTGGCTCCTCACTCTGTGGGTGGGAGTTGCGTCCCCCCATCCTCTCGCACCCACTTTCTGGCCCTTTGGGGAGCGCAGGCCCACCCGGCCCAGACACCAGCGGTCCCGAGAGGGCTCCGGGTGCTCTGTGCTCCTGGTGTGGAGCTGTAAAGGGCGCCGGCCGCGCCCCACTCTCTCTCTGTCCAGCTCCCTGCTTGCTTCCCTCCTCTAGGAGCCGGACACGCCACACTGCGCTGCTGGCTTTCCGTACAGATACTTCTTTAAAACGTCAAAAGTAAGAGAAGTCTGGCTGTCACCTCCAGAGGCATGAGCCCCAGCCCCGCCAGGTCCCG